AATAAAGGGAATGAACTATATATCTCAGTAAAAATGTCAACACTTATCAATCGATACGGAAAACTAAAGGTTGGTAAAAATCACAAAACAACCAATGAAGTTATTTTCCTTTATAGGTAAATTCATTTAATTTCAGAACGTAAGTTTTATACTCATCTTTTAAGTTCTCAAATTTGACTTGTGAAGACAATAATAAAGATAACAATTCATTACACATTTCAAGGAGTAATAATAATCAAATTTTACCTTTTTACCTATTTAACGGTATCTCTGGGGGTCCATAAGGGTTCTCCCTACACATAGACCCAATATCTAATTTATTAATTAATCGACCGTCCTCATACTCTGTCCGGTAATGGGTGTCAAACGTACCACCATCTCAATACTTCGTCCGGTATGATAGTGAACAAATACTTCCCAACCCCTTTCGCTATAGGACTTCTCAGTCCCGTTCGACTGATATAGTGTTTACAGTAGGGTTCGCCCTATGTGCCAAGTCTGTACATCTTTTCCCATGATACCCGATAAGTCTTTTACATATATGTTCACATCATTAATCAGCCACCAAGTACACACAACCATTTCATTCCATATTTGCAGAACAAAAGAGCGACAGTTAAACATGCAGTAATGATTAATACTTTAACAACTAAGAAAAATGTGATTAGGACATTTATTTCAAACTAATCAATAGATGAGAATAAACTGTTAAGTAAATCAATAAACGAGAAGACAAATAAATCTATGAATTAAAGTGCATGCGGTAAGCAAACAATAACAATCTCGTACTAAATGAACAATATATCTAAAATAAGTAATTTCGTACTGACCAGTTACCGGTTCCACTAGTGACCTATATTTAATTAATTAGGGATTTTTAAGTCAATTTTAGAGAAAACCTGAGCACCCTGCAACTGATCGAAAAGATCATCAATCCTGGGGTGGGAGTACTTGTTTTTAATTGTGACTCTATTTAATTCCCTGTAGTTAATATACAACCTCAAGAACCCATCACCTTTCTTTGCGAACGTGACTCCACCATCCCAATGAGATATACTGTGTCAGATGAACCCATTATCCTGCAATTTCTTGATCTGTTTTCTCAGTTCTTCCATCTCGACACAACTTATTCGGTAAGGGACAACCGAAATGGGCTGGGTGCCATACTAAAAATTTATGATAAATTCAATTTCTCTAGGCACCGGCAGTCTTGGTAGTTCATCAGGGAATACGTTCGAAAAATCTCAGACCATAGGAATCTCTTGAATGCAAATTTCTTTCTTAGGCTTACTTAACGTAGAAAAGAGTAACTGAGTTAAAGCATATGATAAACAATGCAGTTATCATGAGTGAATATATCTAAAACTTTTAGTAATTTGTAAAGTACTCTTCGTTAGAAAGGTTGAATACAAATTTTTTATGAAAACAATTTACGGTGGCGTGATACGCCGCTAACTAGTTCATCCCTAAAATTACATAAAAATCTCTCATGTCTAGTGTTATCAGATCTACACTCAATTTCCTACATACTATTTTTATGATACAAGTTTTGTATATGACATTTCCTAATAGTGTCTCATTTCCAAGTATAGATACAAACATCACAAAATCAAAACTTTCAGGTAACACATTTAAATTTTTTATAAAAGTATGTTAAACAAAAGAACGTGAAGCACCGGTATCAATTACAACATATACAAAGTGGTTGTAAATAGTATACGTATCTTGTATCATGTACGGGTTGACTTCAGCATTCTACTAGGTGAGGGTATAGACTCGCCCTGAATTAGAGGTCTGACCTAATTATGATTTCGCGAGCAATCTCTCATGTAATGCTAGACACTTCTACATTGCGACAGGTGTTGTTGAGGCAATAATAAGGTTAATCCCCATGGTCCTTACTATGGTACTGGCAAGTCCTGCTGCGTTCTGTTGTCGGGGCCTAAGGAGGAGATTGAGTTACGGACCTAGATCTCTTGTTCTGCTGAATCGATGCAGTAGGCACTGACCATTGATGTGGAATCGGGAGCTTGGAATTGCCCACTGCTGGAGGAAAGATGTGGAAGTTCCTTTTATCAGCTGTGTCTTGGCCAAAACTGCTGAGTAGATGCTGAGCTCGAATACATACAGTTGCTGTCTAATCTCATGACGGAGGTGCCACTCAAACGTGCTCGTCTTTCTACCTTCGTCCATCATACTCTCAGGAGAGTATCGGCTCAATTCCACAAATTTTCGAGCATGTTCAGACACTGTCATATCACCCTGGATCAGGTGTGCAAACTCTATCTCCTTCAAATGCCAAAAGTGTTATGGGAGGTACTTTGCATTGAAAATTGCTAGGAACTGTTCGCAGGTGACCAAAATGGGTATGGTGGTCTGCTTCAGTTGCCACTAACGTCTTGCCTCACCTACGAGCATGTAAGTGGCAAATATGATCTTCTATTCGGGAATCACTCCAAGAGTTGTGAAAGTCTTTTTTGTCTCTGCTAACCAATACTCAGTTTCTTTAAAAGTGGATGCCTCTGTAAAAGTAGACGGGTTAAGTCTTTTATATCTCTCAATATAGTTTGAGTCCATTTCGGGTGGAGTTGGGTCCTGTTGAAGAGGAATTGGATTATATTAGGGAGGGACCGAGTGACCCTATAGTGGCACCTGGTTGTATGGTGGTTGCTCCGAATTGTACTGTGGTAGTGTCGGATGATACAGTGGAGGAGCAGAATTGTACTAAGGTGGCACTGGATCCTCTTGTTGTAGGGGTGACTCATATTATGGCAATGGTAGAGGGTCAGACAGCTCCCTCATCTCTTCTCTGGCCTGCTGGGCAGAGATGAGTCTATTCAGCATCTTGAAGAGTTGATCGACATCCTCTTGAAGCAATCCATCCCGGGCTGCTCTTGTTTAGTGGAGGTTTTTATCTCCTCATGTCTTTGTACCTGCATTTCACAATGAAGGTTGAGAGTTGGGTTATATTAAATGATTCTAATCTTTTGTGTAAAGAATAGTTATGAGGAACGCGATTTTGATAAGAACTGCAAAAGCCCAAAATTTTATGAAATGAAATTTATTGAATTAATGAAATATAAGCGGAGGCAGTTGAGAATTTAGGATTTACATTCATTGTAAAGTAAATTAGAATGCCTAATAAGATTACGGGAATATCCTTTAAAAGAGATTAAAATAACATAAATAGAAATATAAGTAAAATCCTATAGGGTAAATCTCCACAGGGAAACTCTGATGGGACGCGGAAGATAACCTTTAGTTGCTAACTTTCTTTCTGTTCAGGATCTGAATCTGAATTTTGATCTTTCTGATTTGAAATAGTTAAATAAGGGAAATAAAGTGCACTAACCCAGTAAGAATGTCAACATTTATCAACCGATACGAAAAACCAAATGTTGGTAAAAATCACAAAATAATGGAGTCAT